ACCCCATCTTTCCTCTACCAACATAGTGTGACTTGATTTCTTAGAAAATGTGATATCCTTGAATAGAAAATTGACTGCAGAGAAAGAGGCCTGGGACCTCTGCTAGAAAGAATTAGAGATGGATATTTTTGTACAAAAGCAAAGAGCGCTCTCAGAAGGAATGCTAAGGAGAGAGGGGGAAGTTGACCCAGGTACAAAGCTATATGCCCAGCCCTGCAGAATCTCCATTGAATTGTCACCCTCGGACCTAGACTTAACAAGACTTTCCCACAAAGACTAAAATACATTTAAGAGGCAACCTTGAATGAATGGCCTTAGCTGGAGGTCTGATGGGCTTTGTGGTTCTAACTAGGAGTGCTCAGGCTGGGCTCTGCATCTGCAGGTTCATTTCCACCCTTGGAGACTTGTCCTTAGAAGAATTCTGCCCCCCACACCCACTCCTTCTAGATCTTCCTGAATGTTCCCTGCCATACAATACCAGTTTACCCAAACCTGAAGGCTGTTACAGGCCCAGCTAGTTGGTTTCTGATATGTGAAAAGGTGCATTCTCTGTTCCTGAAGGAGACGGAGATGGAGGCCAAGCATGGTTGAACAGATGCTCAAATAAGAAAGAGGCCGGGCTCTTCTTGCACCCCCAAAATTCACCCTCTGTGGAACACGGATCTGCTGCCAAGGTTTAGCTGCCTTGAGCATCCTCTTTTGTAGCACATTGGGACAAATATTTAATAAATAAAATTCACCTTCAGGGATGATGATGGGGCAAAGTAAAGTGAGGAGGGTGAAACAGAACATTCTCCAAAGAAAGTTTTGCAAAACATGAGCAAGAGGAACTCAAGAGCAGGCTGTTTGATACAAAGATAGGGTATAGGGCCTCTGTCCGCACTGGAGGTCACCCTAAACCTGCAGAGATCCCCGCAGAAGGGAGGCTCAACTCTGGAGATCTCCCCAACACAGTTTGAAGGAAGAAATGTCCTTGATCTTGTCCCAACACCTCCCTGACTCACAGCCAGCCTGTGCTGTGGTCGCACTGGCAGTGCCTGTGTATCGCAACATCACTTGAAGGAAATCCTCTGATCTTTGTAGCTGCGGCGATACAAGGTGTGGCTTAAGCTTTTCTTAGCAGCACCCACAAGGGAAACATGGTGAAAGGGAAGGAAATGAGGGGAACCTGAAAATCTATGCCTGGGTCTCTGATGTTTAAAATGTAGGCCTTGCTTGGCATAAGTGAACTTCAGCTGCCTTGTCTGTGCTAATAAAGCAATAGAGCTTCAGCTATTATCTTCCTAGCTACCATTGCCAGTCTTCCCACCAGGAGAGGTTCCCAAAAGAGATGAATCAAAGGAGTATGTGTGTGTACGCACACACTGCTGCTGCCTCCTTCCCTTGGCCATATTCCTCATCACCCTAGGCCAATGGGGCCTTCCTGCCTGTTAAATTCTGTAACTTTTGATTGTATTATTTTTAATCTGTTACTCAAGCACCCGATGTGTCATAATGTTTTCCAGATGATTTCTCAACCTTTGAAACCTAGCCAGTGTTTTGCGTGTAGCAGAAAAAGAACCTGTTTCATCACAGGATGGTAAGCCATTTGGCCACGTTTGTTGATCACTGCAGAACATTGACTTGTTTTGAGTGTCACCAACATGTTAAATTGGACCAGTGTCTAGTTAATGGGACTGCTGGGTGGTGTCCCTGCACAACACCAAGCCTTTAGTTGGCAAACCTGGAGGTGGCATGTCACTTCTTGGGAATCAAAAGAATTGCCTAACCCATAGCTAGTGCTCAGGGTGGAACAGAAGGGAAGGCAGGCAGCAATTGGTGGAACAAGAATGGGGTACTGTTAAGTACCCTGGAATGATTCAAGGGGAGTCCACAGAAGGTCACTCCAGACTCGGACTTCAACCAAGGATTCAGAGTGTCTGTGAAACAGCCATCCCAGACTAAACACTAAAGAGGATCCAGCATTCCCGACCTCATTTCAAACATGATGCTTTCAAAAAGGGGCAGTAAAGTACAAACCCAGCATAATTTTTCTTGAAGAGATGCCTCACAAGAGCTGTGATGAGCATTTAAACATACATGGTTTGGGCTACATTCCACAGGCCCTATAACACTGAACATGAGAGACAGGCTAGTAATAGATGTAACAAGCACTTTTGTCTTCACAGTCAAAGAGGTCAGAAAAGAGCTAGAGATGGGGAAGAATTTAGCTTGGTGCTTATTTTTAAGCAAACCAGCATCATTTGCAGTTCACAGATTAATACGTGATCACACTCTTCTCTGAATTTAGCACCACTTTTCTTGACTCAAAAACTGTGCATGATAATACATATATTAGGGGAAGTTGCAAGCAAAATACATATGTTAGGAGAAATTGTGTATGAAAATAAATGAAGACGTGTAATTTTAAAAGCAATTCTCACAGCAATACAGAAATGAAACAGAACCTGCAGATCTGACCTGGATTGAAAAATAGACTGATTAGTATATTCCTAGAGAACATCCAGGTTCAGGTATATTCTCAAAGGAGAAACTGGGCAAAGGATAGTTACTCTTGCCTCTTTCTAGGGCTTCATGCAGAAATATTCAATAAGCCTTGAACAGTGTTTTAAAAGGTGAATTACTTTCAGCATGATCAAAGAGCCAGTCTTCAACAGAGTGGTGAATTTCAGAAGGAAAGCGGGGAAAGTAAACATTGAGCAAACCTTAATTATTACTAAAGGTAAAGGTTTCCCCTTGATATTAAGTCCAGTCATGCCTGACTCTAGCGGGTGGTGCTCATCTCCGTTTCCTAGCCGAGGGCAACGGGAACTCACTCCGTTGTACAGATTCGAACCGACGACCTTTCGATCAACCAGCCCAGCAGCACAGCGGTTTAAACCACTGTGCCACCTGTAGTCCCCTAATGTAATTATTATTACATTGCATTTATATCCCACCTTTTTCCTCTAGCAAGGTACCAGAGGCAACTACAAGGCTCTGCACTAAGAAGGAAGGGTGAGAGGCAGTGAGTGGCCCAAAGCTACTCCGTGGGCTTTACGGCTGAGCAGGGACTACAGCCCTGATCTCCAGAGGTCCCCCTTCAGCGTTCTTAACTACCACTCCACAATGGCTCTTTGATCTTTATGGGTCCACTCCGATTCCCAGCAGCTTGCTCCAAGGAATGATGCATTCGGCCATAAGCACATTCTGTGTCTGTGCCTTGTGCCAGGGCACTGTGATTGCCATATCGCACACATGTGACAAATAACCATGCATGGCAGATAACCCATAACATTTACTTGGGAACTCACCCCCTTTCTGCCACAGTAACCAAGGGTGGCACTGAGAATAAAGGATACGGTTAAGTAATAGTTTGGGTCCAACTCTAGGGATGAGCGACAGATTAGGTTTGGTAAAAAGAAGAGCATACACTTCGGAATTGGCCATGATTAAGAAATTAATCATGCACTGAAAGCAGACCTGCATTCTGAAATCTCACTTTAAAAAAGGGAGCAGAGAGGCAGGCAGCAAGATCTGTGTTGCTGCGGATAGAAGTGTACCGGAGGCATTAAATGTTGGAAGTATTTCCACTGTGCTGCAGGACATTTACATTATTCTGAATTTGGAAATGAAAATTTAAAACTGTTCACAAATATTTAAAGAAAAAGATTAACCAAACAGATAATAGAAATAATTTGGAATGGGAACGGGAACATTGTGTGGTTACTACTTTGCATATGCCTCTTGTATACACTAGAAAACTCTGTGCTCTGTAGATTGAGACATATTTAGAACAAATTGGGAGGAAGCGGATAAATGGGGATCAGTTGGTGCTAATGAATTAAAAAGTAAAAGGTCAATTGTGTAATTCTGAAATTAAGCAACAGTAAGTTACCTGGTCTTGATGGCTTTGCTAGTGCCTGATCCTGCCTAGTCTTGGAAGCTAAGCAGGGTCAGGCCTAGTTAGAATCCGGATGGAAGACTTGAGTCTGGCATTGAGTAGGGGGTTGGACCTGAAGGCCTTCTAGGTCTCTTCTGACCATATGATTCTATAAAAATGCCGTGGTTGCTCCACTGGCTCATGTTCCTACATCCAGTTACCCCATTGCAGGTTTCCCACCAGTTAGCCCAGATGCCCAGTCCCCTTCAGCAGCCGGTTCTGGACAGAAGCTTGTCAGGAGTTCTTTGTGAAGAGCAGGCTATACTGAGGGAGATAAGGAGCACAGCAGGGCGGTTCTACCATCCCGGATGAAAGACTCCATTTCCCTCCCTCCCCAGTGCTTCCACTGTCTTTTAAAATCGTAATCTTGCTGGTTGGGGCTACTTCCAGCCTGCACTCAGCCAAGGAGCTCTCTGGGTGACATTCTCAGCCCAACCTCCTTCACAGGGAATTGTGAGGGTAAGATTGAGAGGAAGGCTAGGAGCAGTATGTCAGCAGCCTCTAGTTCATTGAAAGGAAAAAAGATGGAATCTGTAAATATAATAAAATGAATGAATGGACAAGCACTCTGTGGGCAAGTCAAGTCTGTCTTCTGTGGAGCCCCTTCCATTCAATGAACCATAAAAAGGAACATTACATGCTAAATATTCTCATGATACTCAAATGAGACCCTCAGGTTACCGCTTGGCAGTATCAGCTCCCATGGTGCTCTTTTCTGCAGGTCAGCCATATAGGAAGAGATCCTTTGCAGCTTCTTTCAAGTCAGCATTTATTTATTTGATAGTGATTGCCAAGGAGCATAAGGTTTGAAGAAACAGGGCCGGGCTGTGGCAGAGGGGTTCGGTTCAATTGCTCAAGAGAAGAGGAGTAAAAATAATACTGGAGGGAGTGAGTGAGAACTGGGTAGATGGCTAGGTGGATGAACAGGGAAGGAATGAGCTGGAGGAAGGCACTGGACACACTGGCAATGGTGAAAGAGGTGACGAATGCTGAGGTGGCGGAAGGAAGGCTCTTGCTGAGCCTTCTGGCTTTGGGCAGTGCGCCCAAAGTGCTGGGCAGAAAGACCTGGTGCTCACCCTCAGTGGTCTCCCGTAGTGCCCCTGACCGCCTCATCCTTCACGCATGGTCTGCATGTTCTCCTCGTGTAAGAACCCCAGTGGAAACTGAGCGCATGGATGCACCGGCCAGCCCGGCCACTGACGTAATGCAAGACGGCATCCTTGCAAAGCGGAGCCGCGTTGAAGCTGTAGCCGTGGTCTCGTCCAAAGACAAACTGACGCCCTTGGCTGGTGATGAACACCAGTTTATGGATGCAGTGTAGGCCGTATTTCCCATAGGCCTGGGTGATGGACTCTCCCAGGTGCAGGGTGATTTCCTCCAGTTTGCCAGCTCTGCCGCCCACATAGTCACTCCACTGGTTACAATGACGGACCTGGAGACTGGAATGAGGGAGAGGTGCGTTTCGACAGGGCAGCCTGTGTTGCCATGAGCCAGTTTGTTAACCACGCCAACCACCCACCCTGGCCAGGCTTGCATGGAGCGACAGGCTGAGGCCGACCCAGCGCAGGATGCCTCTGTTGGCAATGGACAGCAGCCTGTGAAACATTCCTAGGAGCTGCCACTCGGTTGCTCTGGGACATCTCCAGAAGCTGTCTTTCAGGTGCCTGTTCAATAGGGAAAGCTCCAAAACAGGTTGGAGGACACCCAGCAGCTTGCAGTCCAGGGAGCAGCCCCTCCCCTCTTTACTCGCCTGCAGCTTCCTCTCCCTCTGGCCAGAAGGCAGGCAACAGTGGTGGCCACCCTGGCAGTCCAGGTGGCCACTGCAGAGAAAGCGCAGCCTGTGGGGTTGTTTTTCCCCCTGCTGTCTGTGCTCCCCACCAGCGCCCTCTCCCACTCCGCAGCGCTTGCAGCTCTCTGGCAGCGACCAGCAGGTGGCGCAGTGCCTTTGCTGCAGCTGAGGGAGCCGAGAGGGAGCCGGAAAAGCGCCCCGGCGCTCCCCCTCTCTGTGCGTCCCAGCTGGCCCTGCTGTGAGACTGCGGATTCCGCCATCCCCGCTCCTGCCCCAGGCACTGTTCAGCACATCCTCATCCAGCCACCGCAATTGTGCTAGTTCAATGAAGCACACTCTTTCTGTTTTTCCAACATCAGCCTAGTGTGGCTGAGTTCTGACAAATTGTGACATCCCTGCATAGAATCTCCAGTGAAAGCGGCCTGGATCCCCTGCTAGGAAGAGAATTTTTGGACTCAAGTACGCAGCATTCTGCCCCAGAGCTGTCCTCCCATCTGCCTGAGCCTCTCTTGACTATGCATCCAATGCAGGCTTCATGGCAAATGGTCGGCCTTGCATGTGGATTCAACAGAACTGACCTGCAGAGGCCAAAATACATTTTGGGCACAACCCTTGTGGCCCTGTCTTCTAAATTCAGAGATTTATGTGCCTCACAACAAAGGGCAGTGGCAGCAATCTCTGTTAAACCTGGTCACATGCGTTTTATCTAGATGAATGTTTTCAGCCACCTAAATAAAGTGCTGGGGAGGGGAGGGGAGGGGAGGGGAGGAGACTGGGGTGCTGCTGATAGGAATCGGTGGACAGAGACGACTACAGCTCCTCCCCGCCCCCTGGCGTGCCCCTTTCCCCCTCTCTGAGGTGCATTTATGCTCTGGGAGAGGCAGCTTGCACAGTTCTTTCTATGCCAGCTGCAAGCCACAGGACTGAAGCCCTGGGGCCCCAGTGCCTGCGCTCCAAAGAATCCAGTGGTCCCCCAAATGGTGGCAGGAGGCCATTGGATCACATCCTTTGGGACACCCTTGGAACTCACGATCTGGCTGAGCTTGCTGGGCTCTGCTGCCTTCTGCAATGCCACCAGAGAAGACTTGGTTTGGTTGGCCAGTGCATCTCGTCCATTCTTTCCTCTGATCTTTGGTGTACCGACATTTTTCCTAGGCATGTTCATCGTCCAGTACACTCTCCTCTGAATGTTTTTTGCAGATCGGACCATGCATTTATCCTGACTCCAACCCTCATCAGCTTTTCCCCCCATCCAACCCGCCCATCATTTTCTGAAATATCTTGCTTGATGAATTTCAATACTTGCACATGTCCTTTTCTCTTTGCATGGCTCTGTAAATGTAAGACACTATACGGCTTTTGTAGATGCAGTCACAAAACAGGCAGAAGGCAAACTGTAACTGCATTTTGCACTTGACCCATTGTCAGGAGCTGGGCTGCTGTGCTGGTCGGAACCAGAACCAGGACCACTTTGTTTGCAGGATCGGTTGCAGGCCCTGCTGGAGTTCCCAGTCTCCTGATGAGTGCCAGCGGGGGAGTCCTGGAGGAGTCGCTGCAGAAAAGCAAGCTCCTCCTTCTAGACCGGGCCTCAGCAGTGCAGGTCTGCTGCAGCCGTGCTTCCTGCCCCGTGGCCGACCTGCTGTTTCTGTCCTGCCGTGCCGTGTCCCCTGCCATCCTGCGAATCCCGCCTCAAGTGCCTGTGCCTTGCCTGATGCCTGCCATGTCTCCGGCCCTGTTGTCTTGCCCAAGGCACCTGCACCTCTGACTGGGTTTTAATTGTAACTGTTATTAAGTTGTATTTATTTATTTCTGTAAGCTGTCCCGAGGCTATGTAGCAAGGGGATGGCATATAAAAACTTTAAATAGGTAGATAGATAGATAGATAGATAGATAGATAGATAGATAGGCTTAAAATCATCAAGCCTTGCTTTTGGACTCTGTCTTACTTGAAGTTCTGCACCTTGATCCTGGTACGCCCATTGTTCTTGTCTTGTCCCTGCCCATGTCTCAGTCCTGGACCCAGCCACCCAGTAACCAAACCAGTGTTGCTTGTTACTATTACATGTCCAGCCCACAAACCTCCAGACCTTTATAAACTTACCCCACAATGAAATTCCAGTTTGTCAGAACCCGAATGGCAGTTATAGGTCCATCCAGCTGGTTTCCACTGTGTGAAAAGTGGTTTCCTCCGTAACCACCATACTCGCCAGAATGGGAGGAACATGAGAGAGGCTGAAGAAATTCTGAAATAAAAGGTAATGGGCTAAGTTCACATCATGTGACAAGCAACTCTAGATGGGTACCATGGTCTGCAGTTTTTTTACCATGATCTGCCTGACAGACCATCAAGTGGTTTTATTTATTTATTTTTCGATTTATATCCTGCCTTTTTCCTACAAAGGGCTCAAGGCAGTTTACATCTCCTCCTCCATCTTATCCCTACAACAGCAACCCTGTGACGTAGGTTGGGCTGAGAGTCTGTGACTGGCCCAGAGTCACCCAGTTGGCTCCATGGCTGAGCGGGGACTTGAACCCAGATCGCCTGAGTCCCAGTCCCGTGCTCTTAACCACTGCACCACACTGGCTCTCACACTGGTTTCTCTTTTATCATGGTTTTTATCCCCCTGCTTTAGTCCTGCCACGGTTGGCACACATCTCATCAGCCACTGTGCCCGAGAGTCAGTCCCAAGGTGCATGGCAGCCTCTTCCTCATTGGTCCACACATAGAGGCGGGATAGCTAGAGGGGCTCTTGCAGCTGCCACACTTTCCAGAGGACTCTGTGGTAGATGCATAGTGGGACTGTGGAATCTACTTTCTTGGGTTCAGACAACATGATAAGCCACGGTGGTACAGAGGAACCATGGAACAAAACATTGATTCTTATTTATTTATTTATTTATTTATTAAAACATTTTTATGCCGTCCCATTCGCCGAAGCCTCGGGGCGGCTTACAACAATAAATCAAATAATTATAATCATAAATAAAAATGTAAACATAAGAATAAAATACAACCATACAATATAAAATAAGCCGCCCTGGCCAGATAAAATTCAATTTAAAATGCTGCTTAAATAAAAAGGTCTTCGCCTGGCGCCGAAAAACAAATAACGACGGCGCCAGGCGGACCTCTCTGGGGAGCGCATTCCATAGATTGGGCGCCACTGCAGAGAAAGCCCTCCTCCGAGTACCCACCCTCCTAATTTCTTTCACAGAGGGTTCCCGGAGAAGGGCCTCTCCCGCTGATCTTATCATGATTTCTAAAGAGAGAACGTATCATGGTGAAATCCTATGGCTGGGTTCAGACAACACACAGAACCACAATGGTTTTTTTTTTTTTTTAATGGCTTGTCGTGCGGTCTAAACCCAAACACTTAGTTCAGTTGAGCCACAGCAACCTATGCCTGCACCACAAAAACTCACCCCTGTGGAATAGCATCCTGGTGCCAAGAAGTAGCTACATCAAACACTATTGTTAGAGTTCAGATGATTTAGTGTGGAAAGTTGGAATATAAACAAACAAGTTGGAAATAAAATTCACCTGCATGGATGGTGATGCAGCAACAGAGTAAAGCAAGGAAGGTGAAACGAAACATTCTGGAAGAAAATTCTGTGAAAAGAACAGAAGATTGGCTGCATCAGACCAAAGGCTCCTCACGCTGCGCAACCCCACAAAAGGACCACACAACTTTGGAATGGAACAGTTCTCCCCAGTCAGGTTGCAGGAGGAAATGGGCTTTCTTCTTCTTAGGTCAATGGGAATGTCGCATCCCCTTGCTGACTTACATGACCGGTGCCGGGGTTGGTCCTTGCCTGCGTTCTGCCACATCAGGTGGAGGGAATCCTCTGATTTTATAGCCCTTGCAGTGGGTGTGGCTGGAGCTTTTCCTTGGAACACTGCAAACCACAAAGAGGAACATGATGAAAGGGGAGGAAATGAGAGGGGAGGTGGGACCAAAGGGCAATCAAGTAGGCAGGCTCAATGGGCCATTTAGGGGGTCAGCCAAATTGACATTCATCCCTTGATGGCTGAAATGCCAAGTGTTTACTTTCATGTGTGAACAAGTGCAGACTTTTCAGTTGCAGATTTTCCTGTTTTGGATGGGCTGAGCAGCAAGGCTCACCAAAACTGGCTGGGGATTGAATTCTCCTCCAAAATAGATTGTTCCTTATTGCTATGTAAAGTATTTGGGATAGTTCGGTTTTGAATGGAGGAATTAAGCACCATTACCTTTACAAAAGACTTGCTTCTAGCTGCTGGTGAAAGCTTGAGTGTTGGACTAGAGACCCTGAAGATCTGGGTTCTAGTCACCAGTTGGCCATGAAGCTCATTGGGTGACGTGAGGCAGTCACAGTCAGCCTAACCTACCTCGCAGGGTTGTTGTTGTGAGGACAAAATGGAGCTATGGAAGCTGCTTTGGATTCCTCACATGAGGAAAAATGCAATGCAATAAGATTATCGGTCAACACAGCTTTGGTGTTTTGGAGTCTTCGTGGGGACATGGCTATGGGGGAGATCAGGAAGAGTCCCTGTGCATCACAGATTCCCGCTACAGGCATCCTCAGCAGGGACAAGACCTCTCTTCAGGGAGAGGATGGTTTGGATAAGCATGTTTTCTGTTTTGTCAAGCTTGCTTTGCCTGACTGGGCTGGAGCCTGCATGTGGAAAAGGGGGATATTATCAACGCTTCAGAAAACAGATACAGGGAAGGGAGAGGTTATTCCCGTAACCTGGGAGTTACAGGGATAGCAGGTGTGCGGGAACTGACCCACCTGAGGTCCACATCTGACCTTCTGAGGTTCCTCGGATGGGCACATCCTTTTTCTCTGGGCCTGACCCCATCCCTCAATCCCTGAACGCCTCACGGTTTCTCAGCTTCTGTGCTCTCCCCATTCTAAAAAGTCGAGATACCTCTGCTAAAGCTTCATTACTGGCAGCAAATGCTTTCAGCTAAATATTGGGGTGTTTTTAATATTTGGACCTTGTTTGCTTTTGCAGACAGTCCCTCCCATGACCTGAATGTGGGCTCCAAGAACTTTGCTGAAATCAAATTTGGCTCTCAGGCTGCCTGCCTGGAGAGAGAGTCTCTTAAACTATAGAACAGACTTCCCTGAAATGGTTTGGTCATCTTCTCCCATCAGCCCCAGGTAGCTTGGCCTGTGGGCAGGAGTGCTGGGAGTTGTAGTCCAAAGCATGGAGGTGCCTGCTTGGGGAAGGCTGCTTAAGAGAATGACAGCGTAGAAGAACAGCACCTTGGCTTCCTAGCCAGGTATTCGGAAGGGATGCAGATGAAGGTGCTCCTCCGCTTAATGGCCCTTCTCACCGGTAGCTTAGCAACCGGAGGCAAGACTCTCCAGTTCTGGCAGTCTTCCCCTCCAGGGCTCTCTCTGGCCAATGAGATCCCTCCAGTTTGGTAGGCACCATCTGGCAAGTGGCAGAGAGGCAGGCAGTTGCCTGCTCCCAGAGATGTTTCCTTTGTGACAGAGAGAATCCGAGATGAGTGGGAGAGTCGGGCCAGTGCTGGGTCTCTGAAGTGGAGCTGTCCTGTCCTTTCCTGCAGCTGCTGTTGACACTGAGACAGTCAGTCTAGCAGCGGAGCAGAACGTCAGGCCTGGAGGTCAACTCTGGCCTTCTCGGGGATTCCCTGGAGTTCTCCAGAAGGTCACATCCCCTTCTTCTTCTTCGGAGTGTTGGATGGTTTCCTCACATTTGTGCTTTTCCATACAGTTGAACCCCGCTCCCCCCGTGAGACTTAGTAACTGGGCAGTGACAACTTTAAGTAAAAACAGGTTGGAATTTTGGTCCTGGCCCCTCTTGCCTTCAGCCCCGTCCACTGGAATGTGGCCACTGAGAACTTCTCCAGAATGGAAGAGGTTCTGCAGCCCTGATAGAGAAGAACTCACTGGTTCCCTCAAGTGCACTTGCCACCATTGCCTGATCCTGGCAACTCTGGGGGGAATTTGCAAAGGGCTTGAGCCCCACATCCCCCAAACTTTTATCCCCTTGTTTGGGAAACTCCCATCCCATGCTGAACATCAAAGCAAGCTAAATATCTCAAACAAAATGGTTTCAAAGAGAAACCAGGGAGAGCAACCAGTGCAGAAATCCAGCTGCATTTCAGGGCAATGAGTCTCTGAATAATAGGCAATGTACTCGGGAATTGTTCTTCAGTCAGAGGGGTAGAGAACTAGAGGACTAGAACCTTGAAGCTGGCCCTGGGAACCATTTCATGGAATGCTCTGAATTGGAAGGAAGGAACCTTCACAGAGTTACTGAGAAACTCCATCTGAGCCTCAGAGGCATTTATGACTCTGATATGGAGTGTGAATGATCCTTTTTGTCAATGGAAACATGGCATCAGAGTTCCTTTCTTCTTTCTTGCTGACATGCACATCGTGGGTGATTACTCTCTCTCTCTTTTTTTAGGCCTTTTCAGAACTTTTGATTATTCTTATATGGGGAAAGGACCTGTTTTTATACTGTTTATTGACCTTCTGCTTAATATGTTTCTCAGTCAGTGGTAGGCAGACTTCTACTTCATGGGGTTTCCCTTGTTTTCTGACCTGACCCTCCAGATGCACCGATTAGAAGCTGGTGGACATCAAGCAATCAGAAGAAAAGCATTCTGAGCTCAGAGCTTTGTTCTGACTTCTGCTCACCCCGATCTAAAGGTCCCCACCAAATCTAAGAAGACTCCAGAAAGTGCAGTCAAAGTGCATGTCAGGACAGGAGAGTATGCAGAAGTTCTTACAGGCCACCTGGCGAGTGTGACAGCCCTGCCCTTCTCAGTCCCTTCAAGGACAGTCCTCGCCCTTTATGGCTGGCATCAAGCAATGGGGCGAGGCAAAGGTTAAGTCAGACAATTTTAGCAGAGCCACATGTGGTGCTCCAAGAGTGAGGAGCCACGAACTGTGCAGGCCACAAAGCTTTGGAGGAGCCACTGGTTCTGAACCCCATCTCCCATGTGCAGTGTCTGTGCAAAATTTTGAACGAATCACACATATGACTGTTTTGCTGGAAAGCAGAGGCCCCTTTTGTCCCCAACAAAAGAAAGCAGGCATATTTACAGGATCAACTGGAAATGGATGACAGGTTGGAAGAACATCTGGGATAGTGTTCCACAGACGGAAATCCATAGAATATGCTTCCTTCCAAGTGTTGCCATTTAAGAATCTCTGTCTTGCATGACTTGATCATAATTCTTTGGGAATGAAGAGGCTTCTCAGGAGGAGTGTACAGGAGAAAACATCATCTGAGAATTGAGAATCAGATTAGTCATTACCCTCTGAGAGCCCTCCACACAAAAGCTTGCTTGGAAGAGCATAAGGCAGGGTTTGAAAGATTCTGGGCAATGATAAAGCACAAAGGAGGAAAGTAAAGAAATGGGAGCTGCTTCAAAATGCAGATTAGGGACAGTTAACTTCTTTGATGGAGGTCAAGAGAGCCACTGCAGAAGCAAGTGGGTTTCCCGGGAAGGTCCTCCTGGGACATCTTCCCTGGGAATCTCAACCGCCTCCCTGTAGCTGGAGCTGTTATTCAGACGATACCATTTTGAGCATCCCACTTCTTGGAGCAGCAAGAAGTTCCAGGACTGTTAGCATTTCCACAGCTCTGATTTCCCTTGGAATGAGGTCACTGAAGCTTTCCTGCCATGTTATAATATTAGCACTTATTCACAAATACACCAGCTGAACAAGGTGGAAGCTCCGTATTCAATACCTCCAAATCTTTCAAAGCTCCAACAGAAATCTGTTCTTGACCAGCTTGTCAAGGGGCTAAACTGCATCCTACCTAAATGTGTAGCATCCACCTGATTCTAATTTCTGTTTTACTTTGGCACAAGCACACCTGCCCTGGGGGTGGATAAATCTTCCTGTGGCCACTTTCCTCTCAAATCAAAAAATCCAGTGGAAAGTTATGGTCACAATAAGTGCACTAAAGCATAAAATATTAGGGTCAGATAAACACTGTGCAATTACCACACTGTGTAATATCATCCTTTCTCTCCCAGCAGCTTGTTGTGGCACATTAGCACATTGCACAGGTGGAGGGGACTGGGAAAGCTAAGTCCTCTAGTAGAAACATCCTCCTTGTCATCTTTAAACTGCAAGCGGGAGCCCCGGCTGATACAGTGGCTCAGCCCTAGTGAAAAGCATCAAGATAATGAGCACTTCAACAGAGAGGCAAATTAAGCCATTCTGTAAGGAGAAGGTATATGCTATTTAATGGATTTAAGCATCATTTATTAAGCAATCATCCAAAGCGAAACAAGGGCACCGGTGGCCAGGAGCAAAATCCCAGCTGGGCAATTATTCAGAAATATATAGGTCTTAATGTGACTAGAAAAAACCCTGTAAAAATGTACAATTGTGGCTCTGTCGGTGTTGTGGTGGAGCCCAGGCTCCCGGGGTTAAAGTGCCGGCGCTTTTCGATTAGCAGGAGGGATGTCTGTGTCTTCCTGCTTGCTCAGACTGCCCTGCTCCCTGGAGTTCAGTTGCAATGCTTGCACTAGCAGCTGCGAGGTCAGGCTGATGAATATTCTCAGCAATAATACCTTGTGGTGAGATTTCCCTTTTGCTATGCAAAGGATTTTGGGACGATTTCGCTAGAATAGGTAATTTAGATCCATGGGCCTGGCAAAAGATGGGTTTGTTGCAATGGATCAACACAGTAGGCGGCATCTTTGAACTGTCCTTGGGAACCTGGGACCAGGTTGTCACAATGAGCTCCTGCATTTTCCACCACACCGCTGAGCTCTGCTGTGCAGAGAAGCCTTAGGCTTCTGTAACAGAGATAGGAAGGGGATGATGGATCTCGGTATGGCACTGATGTTGCAAAGAGGAGTTCGGCATGGTTAGGCCCTGGGGAATGCGGAGGAGCAAGCTTCATTTTGGCACGGCCATTTTGCCATCAGGCCTAAGCACAAAGGGGATGCCCTCTGAACGAGCTTTTCTTAATTGAACGTGGTTCTCCACACGTGGTCTGGAGTATGGAGGGTGGTCACCCACGCCCTGGGACAACTTGTTTTGCATCAGTGTTGCCAAGGCAGTGGGCAGATTTGCACAACACAGCCAGCCACACCATGGGACAAGTGACACCACACCGCGTGGCGTGTTTCCTCCAGGCCAGACCACATGCTTGATGGATGATCAGGTTGGCCATATCTCTAGGGCCACCTCTCCCCCAGCTTGGTTCCCCTGCTAATATCCTGGGGGGCATTTCAGGAGCGCTGAAGTCTTCCCCCTCCCCACCACCACTTCACAGTAGGGCCAGGGATGGGGAGAATGGGGAACCACCAAGTGGTTCAGCTTACTCATGAGGAGCACAGTGCTGGCTACGCAGGAGCCTTTTATCTGCCAGTGCTGCTGGCCCAAAATGTCTTCTAGAGAGGGCGGAGCAAAATGTGGGGACCTTGCTGAGGCCGTGCTGAGCAGAAGGCAGACAATCTGCTTTTGGTGCAGCCTCCTCTAGAGGAGGTGGGAGGGGGCTGAGCAGAGCACAGCTCCCCCTGCACTGCTGCCAGTCCGTTTGGGTGCAAGCGGCAGGAGGAGCCTCTGGCAGCCATCCCGAAGGGCCGCTTGGGCACGTTGGGGTGGCTGTCATGATCACACACTGCTTTGCCAGACTGGCAAGTCTCTTTTGCTGTTCTTGACAAGTGCTTTGGTGGAAGTTGGGCTTGCTCCCTGGTACATCACCAGGGCTTGGACAACACTGTAAGTGGCTATGGACCTAAACAAAAGACAAGGCAAGACGAAACAGGCCATGACTTGCCAGGGAGGCTTCTAAGTCCAAATTAATCCATCCTGAGTTTGGTCAACCCACCCACCATGTCACAGGGGCTT